TTGGTCTTCCGGAGAAATGGAGATTTGGTCATAACCGAAATACCCATCCAAAAAGCAATGCCAACCTCTCTCAAAGAGCCGATCAAGCATTTGATCCTTAAAGGGCATAGGGAAAGTGATCCTTTTTAGTCCACAAATTTAGCTTCTGGTAATCCATGCATACTCTCCACCCGGTCATCGGTCTCATAGATACAAGCTCCCCTTTTTCATTTGGGACTACCGTGATGCCTCCTTTTTTCGGTACACATTGTACCGGACCTACCCATTTGCTATCCGTAATAGGGTAGATCACATTTGCGTCCAACCACTTTATTATCTCCTTTTTCACCACTTCTTGAATTGGTGGGTTCAATCTCCGCTGATGTTCAACACTTGGCTTACACTAACTATCAAGCTGAATTTTGTGAGTGCAAATGTCGAAAAGAATGCCCACTATGCCAGCGATAGTCAACTTTAAAGCTTTTATATGCCTTCTCAACACCTCAAGGAGCAATTTTATATGCCAATCAAACAAATCAGCTGCAATGATCACCTGTAAAGTGTTATTTGCCCCCAAGAAAGCATATCGGAGATGGGAGGGAAGTACTTTTAACTCTAGATTTGGTGGTTCTTCTGTTGATGGTTCTGCGGGAGGACTTTCTTGATTTTTTAAATCAATGTCCAATTTCAACGGAGTCTTTGAATAGTCCCCCCCAAACCTGATAGAGCCTCTAATACCTCTTCATACCCTTGAATTTCGAACTCATCATAGTTAGCAAGCACAACTTCAGGTGGCTCACTCATACACATCAAATGGCTCACACTAGCCACCGCATCATCAATAACATCAACAGTGGCGACCAGATGAATATCACTTGGGTGTTTCATTGACTTACACATATTAAGGGTTACTTCATCTTCATTCACCCAAAACTTCAATTCTCCGCTCTCAACATCCACCAACTCTCTTCCGGATGCCAAGAATGGTGTTCACAAAATGATGGAAATTTCTGCATCTATTTCACAATCTAGAATGACAAAATCAGCCGGGAAAATAAATCAGTCAACCTTTACCAAGATTTCATATAGTATCCCCACTTCAATCGGTCCGCCATCAAGAGTCTCATTGTTGTGGATTTTGGTTCCCCCAACCCAAGTTTCTTATAGATTGCATATGGCATCAAATTGATGCTTGCTCCCAAATTGCATGGGCTTTAGCAAATTGGAGCATGCCGATGGTGCAAGGGATGGTGAACGCTCCGATATCTTATCTATTTTTGATATGCTCCTTAGTCATAATTTCACTACAACTATGGGAGACTTCGATTGTTTTAAAATCAAAATTCCTTTTTTTGTGACTAACTCCTTCATAAATTTGGCGTACCCCAGCATTTCCAACAATGCTTCCACTAGAGGAAGATCAATTGATAATGTCTTGAACACCGATAAAAACTTCTTCAACTTCTCATCCTTATTCTTCTTCTTTAGACGTTAAGGAAATGGAGGCACTATTTTGGGTAAAGGTTGTATAACTTTTGTGCTTTTATTGTGTTTCTCCATATCTTTTTATGGTCCTTTGGCAATGATTTGATGGATAGGTGCCTCATCTTCCTCCAACCCTTTATCTTCTTCATGCATTTGAGCTTCTTCATTTCCCGTCACATCGCCTATTTCTACCTTTCCACTTCGAGTCACCACAACTAGCTCTCTATCATCATCTTTCACCATCATTTTTGGTTTCAATTGTTCTGAAAGTCAACTCAATTGACCTTCATAAATTTGGATTGCATTTGCATGAGAGTTCACTTTATTGTTCAATGATGAAAAGTCATCTTTCATCCCTTTAAACAAGTCATCCGAACCTTCAACTTTATCAAGGATGCATGACAGCAAATCATTCACCCTCGGACTACTTGCACTCCCTCTTGATTTAGGGCTCTCACTTGAGTTAGTGTGGTACGCTTCATGATACTCCTCTATTTTCCAATAGTCGCTTTGCTCGGCCCAATCTTGATAGTATCTTCTTTGCTCTTCTCCCTTGTAATAGTTCCAACCTTGATTCCCACCCCATTGTAGATGGCGTGGGTGGAAACCCTCCTCGTATGACTTGGAGTTCCAACCTTGATTCTCCCATGGCCTTGAGTAATCGGAGGAATAACCTTCCTCAGCTCTAAACACTCTACATGTCCCCTTCATATGCTCTTGTAGATATTCCATTTGGGTCAACATATTCTTGATGTTTTCATCCCCCTCTCTCTCTTTATCATGTTGTTCTTGTGTTAATCTAAAACAAAACAGACAGACTTGATCCTTTTGGGTGTACCACGCTTCATTTATTTTAGTCATGTCATCAAGAAACAACGAAGCCACCTCAAATGATTGCAACATTATTCCCCCTCGTACCAATTGATCAGGCACCCCTTTATTAACCGAATCAAGACTTCGATAAAAATATTGGAGTAGTAAATCATTTGGTAACCCGTGAGTTGTGCATTTAAGTAAGGATTTCTTAATACTTCAATCACGTTTCATAGATAGGTTCACCCTCCCATCGCTTGAAACCTTGAATGTCATCTCTAATCTTCATCATCTTTGATGGGGGGAAAGAATCTTGTATTGAATGCTATAATAAACTCCTCTGGTGATGTGATGGAGTTGATTGGTAACTCGGCCAACTACTTGCTAGCCTCCCCCTTCAAAGATAGTGGAAATTACCGAAGTTGGATTGACTCTTGTGACACATTCTTGAATCACAACAGGATACACACCTCTGTAAAACTTCTTACATGCTCATGTGGGTCTTCGTGCTCTAGCCCTCCATAGAGTCCTCTCATCTGGAGGAGATGAAGAGACGTGCCAATGACTTCAAATATTTCATTTCCATCAGCTTGTGGTATGCAAATTGCACCCATTTCACCTGCATGAGATGGGTTGTAAACACTATTGATATCATCGATACCATCCCGATGACCTACTTGACTACCATTCACCTCTTCCTCACTCATTTTAACTTCTATGTAGTCCAACCAACACTACACAATGCAGCGTAAGCCAATTCTACTACAGCTAAACAATTCACAAATCAAATCTTCAATCAAAGAATTCTAAGTAATGCTACTCCTCGGCAGCGGCTCCATTTTGATTAACATTTCAAAGAGACTTCATCCAGTTCTAAGCGTTAGCGATCGCTAGTCAGTATGTAACCCAACTAAATGAGTAGGAATTGAACCCACAGAGAGTAGCTTTTCCTTCGAATTAAATTATAGAGGTATGACAATAATCTCTTCAACTAAACACTTACTTCACCTTTTTGGTTTAAACTTCGGATTTCATGTTATAATACTCAATCCAATTCAACACTTGACACGAAATGATCAAATAATAAGGTAACACTTGGGGAATTGACCAACCAATTATTGAATTCAACTTAGTGGATAGACATTGATTCTTACAATGGGATAAAGTGTCGTGGGTAGGTACGACTATATGTAAATAAATTTTCTCTCGAACAATTACCTTATCTTTGTCGAATTCTCTCAAACTTCAACACTAGATGGAAGATGCCCAACCCTTGTCCTCATCAAATCCACTCTCTCGAGCTAGATAGAAAGGATATATTCCATGTTTCACTTTCTAAAGATGAAATCATGGAGACCCACTACTAAGGATGCTAAACTTGCTACTTTGGCTTTGTAGTTCTCTCTCGAGCAAGCACAAAACATTGAACTAGTGATAGTAGTCAAGCAAGATGACCTTAAAACGCAGCATCAAATCATATCCACTTCAAATTAACACCATTATTCACAAATCAATGACACCAACTTAGTAAAACTCAACAATTGGTCACATAGTCAAAACCCCACGGAGAGGGTTTTCGCCAATCATAGCAAAAAAATGAAAATCAATATCTGCAATGTTTTCCATAGCTAGGTAAAAACAAAAATTGATAGTTAAAGTCAACTACAATCTTCTCTATTACAAAATTTCAGTGAAAACCTTGCTAATATCACTTGAAATCCACAATGGTAGTGTTTCTAATCTCAATCTTGTGTTCCTTGAGTTTCTGAATGCCTTCTCTGTCTAGCAAAAATCAATTTATGTAGGTCTGATGTGTGACCATTTACGACCAATCGGCGAGGTAAGTCGGGCATCAGTGAGATTTCAGCGACTCGTCAATGTTTCTTCCTCTCGCCTTCATTTTTCACTTCTTCTTGGTCCAACGACTGTAATTTTAGGCGATCCATATAGGAATCGTCGAGTGGTTTCGCGAGTAGCCCTTTCTTCTTTCATCTCACCTATCAACACTTGCTTAGATCTCCGTCAGCACTTTTGGCAACCTAGTCATCCAACGCCGAAGCGATCGGTGACACGCCGAATAGAATTACCTCTCGTCGAAGTTACCCCTAATTTAGCCTCAACGTTCTATAACTTTAGGTGGTAGAGTAGCAACTTGGCGATTCGCCGAGTGGAATCGGTGATCATTAAGCTTGTTTTAACCTTCTCTTCTTTGCTTGTGTTGTCTCTATTTCCCATTTCTGTCCTAGCTTTGTTCCTCACTCCATGTACCTTAGAATCAAGGGTTTTACATCAGGTATTTGCACAAAATAAGTATTTGAGGGCACTAAATCATTGTAAATAAAGCCCTAAATGAGATCATACTTTGGACTCATCAAATACAACATGAGGAAGTAAATCATTTAAACTAACTTTCTTTTAAATCATAAACTTTATGAACGTGCACCATATAAGGAAATCATGGCAACGCATAAAAACACAATAATGTTGCTAGCTAAGCACACTATCTCCCCCTTGGTAGTTAGCCTATACGAACTCTTCTAAACATCATCTACCATATGAAAGCAACAATGAAGCTCATTCATACTAAAGACAGCATCAAAGTCTATCATGTCAAATATATCAAGTCATAAAAGACAAGCAACACCGGAATCTAGCAAAAGCATAAACCACATACCGGTAGCAACATAAGGAGATCACTCTTGTTAACCTCTAGATTGGAGAGCTTAAGGCCTATTCTTCCTTGAAGCCTTCCCACCCAAACCAATTGGACCAGAGGAAGGGTAAGGTTGGGACCTACGACGACTATCCTCTTCATTTCTAGAAACCTTAGGGCAATGCCTTATGTTGTGGCCTAACTCACCACAACCAAAACAAACATAAGAACCCGCTAAGCATTCACCCTCATGCCTTCTATCACACTTACTACACCCCGACAATAGAATCTCACTACCATCTTCTTGAGACTTATGGTTAGACAGCCTCTTTTGGTTGAACTTAGGAGTACTTGAGGGACTTTGCCTGAGGTACTTTAGTCTAAACCTAGGGCGACCATCTCCATCAAATTCATCATCACCCAATCTGGACCTTTTTTTCTCCCTAGATTCTTCCTCGAGTTTGGACTCTTCAATTCGTTGGGCAAAAACCATAAGATGTGAGATATCCATATCATCCATAAGCATTACTATACACCATTCTTTTTGCACTAAGTCGGACGCTCCCATCATGAAATGATTCATCTTATCCCTTGAATCCTCCACTAAAGTTGAAGCATACTTGGAGAATTGAGTAGACTTTAGAGAGTACTCTTGAACACTCATACTACCTTGCTTAAGGTTAATAAACTCCTGCATCTTAGGCTCCCTCAACTCTAGGGGAAAGAACTTATCAAGGAATGCCTTCTGAAACACCTCCCACTCTATGGGACCCGCTTCTACCGGTCTAGTCTCCTTTCATTGCCCATACCATATTTGAGCAACCCTTTTTAATCAATTAGCGGCTAACTCTGCTTTCTCTACCACAATCACCCCTATAATATTAAGAGTCTTACAAAGCTCATATATAAACTCATTTGGATATTCCTCCACTTTGGAGCCATCAAACTCCGGAGGTTTCATCTTAATAAACTCCCTTACTCTTAAGAATGCGGAATTCACATTTGGGTTCACCGGAGCTACTATCTCTCTATTGACTTGAGTTTTCACGGCTTGATCCAATAATTGCATAGTGGACCTAAACTCTGCATGAGTCACATGCTCCTCTATAGGGTAAATTGGACCTTGAGGAGGATCTTAGGGTGGAACTTGAACAGGAACCTCTTGATCTACATTTTCTTCCTTATTTATCCTAGCATTAGCCCTTGTATTAGCCATACCCTGAAAAACCATAGGGCACAGATTAGTAGAAGGACCTACTAGAACCAAACTCTATGGCACAACTTAAGGAATGAAGAAGTGTAGTTTCCTAAACATCCAATAGCCTCTTATTGATAAATGTGGCGTGCTTCACATTTATGAACAAGACTCTACTAGATGTGGTTTGAGACAATCCTAGAACCATTCAAAACCTTGTGCTCTAATACCAAGTTTGTCACGACCCAGGGGTACACCCTAGAAGTAACAATGTTTACTTGACCCTGATGGGCTCTCATACAAGCCGTTAGCATATCATAACATAAGATAATAGAAAAAGTACATAAATTTTTAAAACTTTATCCTTACCATGGAAGTCTTTCGTAAAAGCAAGCATAAGTCTTACTACACTTTGTCTCAAACCATCTAATACAACCCTAGGAACATAGCACATACAATAGTCTCAGAACATGAAAATAAAAGACATACAGGTAATAGTGGCTTTTGTCTTCGAAGCTATGAGGACTCACCAAATTTTCAACTCCTTGCTTCTTCGAAACTTATCCTCAAAAATGGAACTCAACCTCCGAACCCTACTTTTGATTATAATGTACGCAAAGTATGCGTTAGTACAAAATGTACTAAATATGTTAGCTAGCATAACAACATAAGAGTATAATATGAGGTTAGTCAATATAATACATAACCCATAATAATATGAAATACTTCATGAAACATAAACGATAAGCATAACAGACAATATCATAATCATAGGCAAAGTCTCCAACATAAGCATCATAGAAGCATTATTCCCTCCTTAGTCACCCATATCATAAGAGAACTACTTCTCAAGTAACCTCAAATCATACTTGTGCAATGCATGAATGACATCCCATAATACCATTCACACTAAGCATAACCTTGAAGTCACCATATTCATACTTCCATTCATTTGGTCTCATTCTTAGCTTACTTCATAACCAACGGAATCTCTCACCTTTAGTCAAGAATAACATAACAAGGAAGGCAACTATAGCACAATCATATCTAACCATACATCACATAAGAGAAACACTTCTTGAGTCACCTAAAGTCAAGCTTATGACATGCATGAACAAGACCCTATAATCCTACCATGCTAAGCTAGACACTTTAGGTTCATCATTCATGTTTATCATCTCTTAACATCATAAAGACAAGGGGAATCACCTATATTCATGCATGTATTGGAGGGGTTTACTAAGCTACAATCCAAACTAGTCATGCTCATTTTCATAAATGCAAGGTGGAATCACCTCAAGGCTTACATTTTTAGTTTATCGTGAAAAACAAGGGTACTCACCTCAAGCCACACATATCATGGAATGATAAAGATAAGGGTAATCACCTCTAGTCATACATACAAATAAATCATAGGTATTCACCTCCATATTCATTCTAATGTGATATAGGTATTCGCCTCCATATCCATTTTAAAGTTTAATATAGGTATTCGCCTCCACATCATCACATACGGATCATAGGTTATCGCCTCCATGATAAACATAAAGGCTACTGGGTAGTCACCGCTTGCCTTGGGAGTCATACATACATAAACGGTAATCACCTCACACTCCCTATATCATGACATGCGTAATCTCCTCATGTTTAATTAATTAGGAGTAAGGGAACTCACCTCACATTCCTATCATGTAAAGGTCTTTTAGAGGAATCACCACAAGCCTCATCACATTTCATAGTCCTAGGACTTAGATTCATTTTAGGTGAGAATAGACTTTCAACCTAGAATCATTCTATGTGAGATAACCTTTCATGTCATATCATATTCGTGCATAATACCATATCTAGAATTCTACATTAGGCATGGATAACATCATAACTTAAGTGATTCTATCACTTCATACATTCATAAAGGTCTTCCACCATAATTCTATCCATTAAGCTTCTATTCTAATATAGACTTTACTCTCAAAGCCTTAACATACCTAGTTCAACATATTGGTTTTACTCTCAAAACTCTAGTGATCAACATTCATGACTACAAGCCTTACACTCAAAGCTTTACTTATTACAATCATCATTCATACTTAGATTTCAAGGCATTCTAATCACATTCTTCATTACTAGATGTTTCTAGTCATAATTCATCATAAAGGTTCAACGAATAAAGGTTCAAGTTGAAGCTTTACTAATCAAGATCCATTATATTAACATTATTCTAATACAACTCATGTCTATATGTTTCTATTCTTCAACAATTACTACTCATAACATCAATTCTAGAAGATCACCTACGAATCCTCAATTTCACCTTGCATGGCATAAACCCACATAATTCAATTTCATCAATTTGACCACGGCTAACCATGGAAATCACATAAATTCATCATAATATCATAATTCAATACTAAAAAAAAAATCATAAACAAGTACTATCCACTCAATTAGAATCATATTTGAACATTACCAAAAATGTAGGAAGAAACCCTAGCTAATTTGGGTTTTATCTTCATAATTAGGGGAAATCTAGGGGGCTCTATGGATGGAAGAATCCATAGATGAATAAGCTAACATACCTTGATTCGAAGCCCTTGCAAAAATATTTCAACAATGGAGTCTTGTTCTTGACCTAAGCTTCAAGCTCTATCTTCTTCTTTAAGTCTTGGGTTTTCTAGATAGAGGATTTCTGAAATGAAGAACTTTGGGATATTTTGGGGTTTTGGAATTAATGTCTTCATTGGGGTGGTTAATGATTTTGAATAGTTTATATTTATGTATAAAGTCCATATAAAATGACCCCCACTTAAAACCAACTAAAATAGTTATTTTCCTAAAGACCCTTACCTTGGCCGACCTTGAACAGTGTTGCAGGCACGACCCATGCCCATGACCTACGGATCGTGGGTGGGTCTACGGGGTGTGTTGCACACTCGTAGGTTCTGGTCTGCAGCTCCTCAAATGGGGCCTTGACCCACGATCCCTTCCCATGGGGCATGGGTGCACCTACGGGGCGTGAGTCCAAACCGTAGGTGGCCCTTTTTTGGCAGTTTTAGGGACTGTTTTGGGGTCTTCCTCAAGGACCCCTTTGGTTGGTCCATGGTGAGTCGTACCTTGATGTTTAACCCCTAAACCCCTCATTCTAGTTTCAGGAAGCCATTTTACAATTGTAAACCACATATCAAACTTTAAAATTCTCACGTAAAGCACTAGAATTCTTACGTTAGACTCTAGTTTCACCTACTAGTTTCCGGGGTATCAAAGGAGGAATGGAGATGGGGCGAGTGCCCGGTTCCAAGTCAATGCAAACATCTATATCCCTGTCTGAAGGCATACCAGGCAAATCGGTAGGAAACACTTCCTCAAATTCATACACTATAGGAATAGACTCAATTGAGGGAGAGTCAGCATCAACATCCCGAATATGAACAAAATATGCCAAACACCCTTGCCTCACCAGTTTCCTAGCCTGACTGAAAGGTATGACCTTAACTGGCTTAGGCTTGTAGGCCCCTTCCCTCTCTAACTTTTCCCTACCCAGGATCTATAGAGTCACAGACATAGCATTCCAATTAAGCACAACATAATAGGGGGAGAACCATGTTAGGCCTAAGATTATATCAAAGTCAGTCATATCCAAAATAACCAAATCAGCCCAAGTCTGGAAACCCATAAACAAGACAGAACAAGCATGATATACATGGGTGACTACGATAGACTCCCCAATTGGCGTAGAAACATGGATGGGGGAATCAAGCACATCAAAATCCGCATCAAATCCCAAGGAAAACTGAACTAATATATATGAATAAGTAGAACCCGGATCAAACAAAACAGTTGACATATGGTCATAGACAACAATATTACGTGTGATCACTGCATTAGATGCCTCAGCCTCAGTCTTGCCCGCAAAGGCATAAAATTGAGCCATGTTATCTTAAATGGCAACCTCATTACCTGGCTGCACTGCTCCCCTACCTGCATTACTATTTCCCCGATCACCTCGGCCTCACTGATTTCCTCCTCGCCCACCTTGTGGACATCCTGTGCCATTACTTCCGCTGTCCGCTGGTACCACTGCTCTAGTCTGCGGCTCCACAGGGTCAGACATGCACGGATAGGGACAATCTCTCCTCATATGTTAAGGTTCTTCACAATTGTTAAAATTGAGGTCAAAAGGTGACTTCTTGCTAGACACAGGTGCGGCTCCCTGACTATGTTGATTAGGATTCTGATGTGGAGTTCCCGAGCAACCACCTGTAGAAGCAGGCATGGTTGACTGAATTGTTCGGGCTGCAAGTGTCAGCCTACCTTAACCTCTGGAGTAGGAACCATGAAAGTTGTATGTGTTCTTGGGCTTCATAGCCAAAGATTTGGCATATCCATCACGTCAAACTCCCTCCACTTTCTTCACAAAGCCTGTCACGCCATTAAAAAATTTACTTGCAGAGGTCTTGTGAACAAACAATACCAGTAATTCGGGGTTCAATTCTTTGACGAATAGA